TTTTCGCAATGAATGTTTCACTGAGTTTTCTGAATTTTCTCCATTATGGATAAGATTTTATTTTGATAAATCATACATTGTTATACAGTAATATTAATTGATGACGTTTTGAGCACAAACTATTGCTCATATCATAATCATATCAACTTGATATGATATGATATGCATAACACTGTGTGATTTATCAAAATAAAATCTTATCCATAATGTAGTTATAACCTACCACAGTGCCCAAGTTTTATATTTATATCAATAATACATATGGTCCTCCTACTAGGAAGCTTATCAACAAACTCACACGACGTTTCTGAATTTTGTCTTAACAGTCTATAGGGACTGACAAATTCACATGAAAATTTCTTCACATTGTAGATTTTGTTCATGTGCAAAACGGATTTCTTCCTCTTTGGTGGTTTAATAGGGTACTAAATACGATTTTGGCTATAATACTACAGTACATTCACGTTTTCACGTTCTACGATATGCTAAAAGCTGCACTCAACCAAACACGAACAACGTTGTATTAAGAAGCACAAGTAAAGTCTTGGAAAAATGTATTGTTAACGAAATCAAGTTTCGAAGAGTACAGGGCGAACGTAAAAGTGTATAATCGCGCAAAATACACAGGTAACCAACGAAAACCAATGTTCAATAATACAATGACAAAGATTCGACAAGTACATGTAAAATTCGTTTCTGTAAACGTATAATATGGATACATGAATTCGTTTTATAAGTGTACAGTTAGAGTTAATACAGGGGTGCTGAACTTCATTGTTTTTAATGATAGACACCATAGAGATTACAAGAACAACACGATGAATGTCTTACAGACACAAATCTTGAAAATGAATAACCAATAATTTCCACGTGACCGTTATTTGCTGCGTGGGTCGGTTTTGAAATAATTTCCTAGTCCCAATGCCTCATACCTGTTTTATTTTCGTGACGTGTATAGGAATGAAATTTTCCTACATAGCAAAAGTATTCATTCAGACATCAAGAAAAAAAGAAAAGAAAATTGAGCAAAGAATATCCATTTCGACAATTGTAGAGCCAGAAGAGGAAATTATCGAAAAAGATATTCTTTGCTCAATTTTTTATTTTCCTACAGTTGTTTTCTGTGATGAGCTTCAACGGGGCAAAAGAAAGATTTTATGATGACCTCGCCAATACTAAAAAGTATTTGGGGGACAGTGGATATCCTGAAGAATTTATTGATAAACCCAGGAGAACATCAAATATAAAAGCAAAGTTTGATGCGATTAAGAATAAACCAGTTTTCCTACAGCCTGGTTTCAAAGGTGATGAACTGTGGGGAAGAATCAGATACAGAATAGATGTTGCTCTCAAACGAACTTATCCAACTCTAAAGTTAGCCATATTTTACCGAATTAATTGCTCACTGAGTCAGTCTTAGTTTGACACATCCCTCTTTCGTGTTATCTCCAGCCGTATGTACCAATTTACTTGTACGTGCCAAAGCAAATACATCGGAAGAACAGAAGGACAGTTTGAGTGACTGCATGTTCGGACATATTTCAAGGAGGTTGCGAGTGAATGGAGAAAAAGTCCTCATTAGTGTAATCACACGTTAACAGGTAGGTAGTGGCCGCAAAATCAACGTTTCAAAATTATTATTATTATTATTGTTTCCTTTAATTCCTAGAGGAACATAGGGCTTCAGCCGTGCGTCTCCATTGCGTTCGGTTCTCTGCTAGAGTCTTCACCTGGCTCCAAGTCTGCCCACACGTTTTCATCTCTTCTTCAAAATAATTTAAGAGAATTTAAATAAATTTTACTGTTAGTGTGCAAATATCACCAAAGCTATAGACACCGAACGGTTAAAATCAACTAGTGCATTCAGACAAAAATGGTAGTCAATCTATCTTTACCATGGGGAAACCTTTTTTTCTCAATTCCTTTACCTTATCTAATTTTCACAGTGTCATTTCACATCTATTCACTTATTTGTTTTGTCTTCATCCATACCCTTGACCAGAATATTTGATATCCACTCAACTCATTTCTATTTTAATCACTTCGAATTATCAAAACTTCAACATTTTACTTAAAGAATGCCACTCAGTCGTTTCCCACCTTCAGACCTTGGCTCTAGAATATTCTTGTAATTTTTCTATGTATACTAACAAGCTTACTACTACCTTTTGTTCTTCCGACTCCTCATGAATTCGGCTACAGGATATTAATAGTTGCCACTTTCTAAATATTTAAATGTGTGTGAAAACTTTGTACATGAATATTGCAACTGTTTTATATTGTGTGCAGTTAGTAAAAATTATTGATCCTATGTTATTCCGCTTGAATGGCATTTCAATCCATAAATTTTAATGGTTAACGTCGTGATATGTTACTGGAACTACTAGATCTTTCCAATGATTTACTTGTTCCTTGAATTTGTCGCACATAGTGAACTTATTTACTCTAGTATTTTCTTCATCAGTGCAAACATTGTATGAGCGGTATTATGAAGCATATGTGAGGAATTCATTCTGTTGTGAAATGTATAACAAAAATTGTACAGCTGCATATTGTAGTGACGTGGATGATGCTGGACTTATGGATTCATTCTACTGATACTTCAACAGAACAAAAGTATGCAATTGATTACTAGACTAATGGTCCTACACTGGGAAGACGCAGAAGACTGGTTGCAAGAATAAAAATCCACTGACTTGACGCTTGCTCTAGATTAAGGTCAGGTGTCTATTTTATTGGTCACGTATATTGTCATTATATAACTCCTTCTCTCCTAACAGATACAGTTATATAATGATTGTTTAAAACGGTTTTGTTTTTAACTCTTTTTCTTCAGCTCGAGTGACTTCTTTTCGGGATTTCATTCTCAAAAGCTATACAGTCGCATTTTTATATGCAAGTTCACATAGTTACAATTATTATTTAATTAACGAAGAAGGACTAAAGGAGACAACAATTTTCAACTTCATGTGGAAGTTTGAAGGTGTGGTGAGAAATGAATATAGATCCAAAGGGGTGTAGAAGAAAAACCGTATTGGATTAGAAGGCAGCTGCGCAACAGGCATATTGTTTTTTAACGAAGACAGTTATGAGCGGGAGGATCACAGAAACGAATTTCAAAAAACCATTTTTCTAAGTGACGATTAGAAGCGAAGGGAATGGAAAAAACAGCAACTAGACAGTTTCTTTTGAACCCGACTCCGGCTTTTTGATGCATATAATGAAGGCCACTGCAGCTCAGAGAAGTCAGAAACACACCACCTTCGGTAGATTTGTATCCAATTAATAAATTCTTCTCAATGATAAACCAGATGAGATGTTGTGTCCAGTTAAAGAGCTTCTGAATGAACCAGTGCCAGCTGCTTGCATTCATGCTGCACAGTGTTTTGAAAGGACGTGAGTAAAAAGACATATCTGACTGACCCTATAATATATGAACATTAGAGTGGTCATCTTGTGGGAGCTTGTCTTTCAAATTTCTTAGAAGCATTGAGTGGCTAGAGAATATCACTTTTAGTGTTACTGCAGTGAGGATCACAAAGAACCCCGGTGACATATTTCTGTTGCACTCAGTTGTCTGCATCACTTTCAACTAGATTCACCACTGCCGATGAGATTTCATTTTCTCTTCACATGGCCTTCTGTATGTAACTTTGTGACACCGAACCAGTCGCCTCCGCATTCAAATCCCAGTTAAGATATATGTGTATTTAAATGTATATTTCTTCACGAACCAACGTTAATTAAGTAATCCTAGTAAAGCACTTAGCACTATACAGCTGTTTTCCCCCCAGTTTTAGATTCTTCAGATATGTACGCCCTCAACCCTATCAGATATAGAACCCAGGATCGTTAGGCCTTGAGGCCAGTCTGAAGAGCATCCAGCTTCTGGATTGGAATCCCAATCCGTAACAATTCGCAGTATGGCATTGCAGATAGCCAGTGCCATTGATGAGTATCTACTCCACACCGACATCGTTGACCTCATCGGATACAATTTGTCATTATAAGTTCAAAATATTCATAACTAAGCCATTTATGAGCTGGAGAACCATATTCATTTTTTGGGTTTTGTAGGGATTTTGATTGATTTTCGTGTAGATTTTGTTTCGGTTTTCAATGAACCGTTAACTGATGTCTGTTCGTTAGCAAATTTACATTATCATAGATGTATATGGCACATCATAAGTCTGAAATATTACTGGAGATGGGAATGATACAAACTATAATTAGAATTTCAGTATATCCAATCTATTGTTACAAAAGAGCTAGAGACTGATATTCACTCTACAGATTTTGTCTTGATTTTCGATGATCTACTAACTAATGTCAGTTGATGAGGAAATCTGCACTGTAACTGATGTAAATCTCATACCTAATGGTCTGAAAGCTTATGAGTTTCCCTGAACTGGTACTTTCAAATTTCAGATTATCCTCCCTAGAAAGAAAGAATCTAGTTATTCTATATAGACTTGTGAAGATGGAAATAATACAAATTGGTGTAATAAAAAATTTGGAATGTCATGTCTACATCGTATGTATGAAAGCAGTGAATAGCGGATATTCCCATCAATCTTTGTGTAGTGCATACACAGTTTATTCTAATTTGAGTTCAAGTTTACGTTCTTGATGATTAGGAAAACAATATAGGTGTCATTGCAGTATACTGGAGACCTATTAGGCGCGAACGATGGTGGAGATGACAAAACAGTTCACGCAAATATTTTCAATGCCATGTTATCTGAAATAATCAATTGAACATTTTCAATATGAAATTTCATGAAATTGTCGTTTCATACAAAATATTCTTTATTAAACCATTCAAAAGCGAATTTATTCCATGGGAATACCTATTCACATATATATATATATATATATAAATTCATAGGGAAATAGAGTACACTTCACGGATTATGAAATTTCCTTAATTCTGGGATTTAAATTTACCATTTCTTCTTGACTAGAAGATGATATATACATTTGCTACTGTAGAATGTAGAATTTTCGAAACACCAGTTTCTTTACCGTTCAGTCTCAACCTTTCTATTTATGGATGAATCAATCATGGAGATAGGAAATATACAAAAACTTTGAATTTTTATTGAAGTTTATATTATTTGCAGAATGAACTCAGAAAAGCTCATATGATATTGTAAGTCCAAACATCGTTATCATTTCCCTACCATTATTGTAGCTGTAATAATAAAGACGATATAGAGTGTTTTTAATTAGAATGAGACGGATAAATATTAACCCCAAGTTTATTTGAAAATGTGACACTACTTATATTTTTGTAAGTAGGAAAATACAATGGTGATTTTACGTTATATCATTTTTCAAGGTCAAGTATACTTCACGCTAAATTGAGAAAATAAGTGATAACGGGTGGCTACTGTTTCAATTTAATGAAAGAAATAAAACAATATTTTGTGATACAATGTTCGGCTGTAAGCGTCTTCTTCAAGCTTCAACAACAAATAATTTCCTACAACTCCAGTGAATAACAGTTTCCTTAGCTGTTCGACAGTTCAGTTAACATAAGTTGTCGTTCTGTCTTTATCCCATGCTCTTTCAAGCTCTGGTGAATTTTGGTTCGGACCAATTACAGTGATTGGAATGTATGGATGTCGTGTGTTTTTCAGGTACTCCTGTGAAAAGAAAAAGATGGGGAGCAAAATGAAATAATGAAATACATAAATTGTAATTTTTATTGAATAATAGATGTCATTTTATAGTGAATAATATTTTCAAGTATATTACTTTTGCAATGAGACTTCTCACGGTGACATAAATATTATGCTTATTCATTAATATTGTCAAAAACCATGATTCTTGGAAATTTCTATCAACTGATGCTGGTTTATTTACTTGCCAGCATTAAATTCTAATTATCGTTTGAGAAAGTTGTTTAAAAATATTACAATGAGTTATTAGTTTTGCGATAAAACATGTGAGGCAAGAAGAAGAGAAGTTTAAAGCAAGAGGAGTTTGAAAAAACTGAAAACGTTCACCTTGGAGATTAGACTTTGCAGTGTACAGCTCGATATTGTGAACAAGATCATGAAAATGTTAGATTTCAACTAGGGGACAAAAGATGATTGTGTGTAGTTCACTAATTCTTACAACAAGATGAAGTATTTATTTATCACTAATCTTTTCTTAGATACATTACTGATGAATATAAGGGTTTGAGAACTGCTCTAATCTCAACATTTGTGCGCCACATAAACTCAGCTGGCAGAGATGAATCAACTCAAACCACAAGAATTCCCGGTCGCTACTTTAGCGAATCGGTAATGCATAGAATCGGATTTGTCTTTTGGAAATTAAAAAATTTGTCATGAAAATCCAATAGAGTTTATGGTCGGCAGGAATCAAGAAAAGAGTTAAGGGTGGACCGGAAAGCAAGTTTACCTTTACTAGACTATTCCATTCTACAACATGAAGCCTTCATTAAATCAGTGGAGAGTAGACACAAACGTATCTTCTGATGTCATTCTTCGAATAGGCTCATCAACTCAAATGCACTTTCGTTGCTGGGTACATAGGAGGGAAGGACAAGAGAATGTTTATTGGCCTCACCCATCTAATGCCATAAATTAGAAGGGTTAAATATTGTTTTAGACTGTGATTACCAATCAACTTATTGACACACAGAATGCAGTTAGGATTAGCTAAGCTTTGAAGATAACCAATACACAGAAACCATTTGCACTGAATTATAAAAAGCTAACCTCTGTATACGAAACGATAATATGATTAACTCCTCACTACCCCAGTAACTGTTTTCTTGTTTCCCTTTCTCATAGAAACACTTGCTTAGGTTTTGATTTTCATTCACTGAGTCGACTTCCTTGTTGAGAATTTCAGTTTAATTCAGTGTCGGTTAATGTGTTGATTTGCTTTTGCTCGACATATTCATTTACTCCTACGTATTCTAAGTTCATCCCTAGCCTCGTAACTTTCTAAATTTCTCTCCTATCATGCAGAAATGATGAGTGGATGTTCGACTACTTCAATATTATCTGTTTTTAACTCATGCATCCTGCTTTATTAGTGTGCTAAGAATTATTAAGTACCCTTCTGATTGAAATAACCCTGAAGTGTGGTATAAATTTAAATTTACTAGTTATAATTTATGTGACTTTCTGACTGTTAGCAGATCAAGAGAAACGGTGAAATAAAATCATTTCTTTCTATCCTACAAATATCATCTTTCTTGCCTTACTCAAACTGTAAATTATCCAAGGATTAATGTGTCTCATGATACAGATGTAAAGTAATCCAGGTTGTTAGTCTCAAATAGGACGAGGTACTCATCCTGGGTTTTGCTAATGACATAAATCAACATGCACCACAATGGGGCCTACGCAGACCACTATTATCAAACTGCAAAGTGCAATCTTGATTGGATGCAGACCAAGGCTTAAGTGCTCAGATATCCATTGAATCAGTCACTAATTATTTTAATTTGAATACTTTAACAAAACAGGAGTCAGTTTGACTAATCCATTCATAAAAAATCATATTTCAGTAATAAAGATAATCGTTTGTCAAATGTAGATTCAATCTCTTACAGATCATGTTACAGGTATGAGTGCGTTACTGTCGATTCAAGTGTTATATTTGGTAACAGTGTTCGGGGCACAGTTTCCCATTTTCGTATTCAGCTAAACTCAACAACTAGAATACTGATAAAATTTCTACCCTAAATAATTGTAGCTTCAAGAACACCTAACTCAGTTTCAGCATCATAAGCCACTGTTATTTTCTACAGCTCTCTCAGTCATTCTTAAGAGCTGATCTTCCGTATTCATCATACTACATCTGCATAAATCTTTCGAATATGTGGTAGTATATAATTTTATAGTTATCTGTTTATGGCATGCATTGCAGAGCGAAAGAAAATTATTATTTACTGGATGACGTTTTGAACACAGTTTATTGTACATAATAATATCATGTGTAACTATACGTCCTTAAAACTCGATTCTTGTGGTCCTTGTGCTTCTTTCTGATTGTTGTAAAGGTAGAGTAGTGCACACTGTCATGGAAATACGGAAAATTCTACTGCTCTTACAATGAGTGGGAGAGAAGAACGAGAAGTTAAAAAATCAAGTGCTAAAGTAATATAGATACGCTTCATATGATTGTAAAGAATAAACTGCATTTGAAACGTCAGTGAATCCAGTGAATAATTCTCTTTCACTGTATGGTAAATTCTATAAATATGTCATTTGTAACAACTGACTGATAAACTATAAAATAGGAGTTGACTTACATGTGCATAGGGAAGAGCATTGTGTTTTTCAGCCGGTGAACATTTACTTCCTATGTAAACAAATAATTCATATCCTGTATCAATGAAGTAGACATCATCTTCTCCAATTACACGTTTTGGTAGATGATTTTTCACTACTAAATCAAACGAGAAACGACCCTGATCTTCGGACAACCTAGTGGCAGTTCAAGGAGAAGAATAAAAAGAGGAAGACAGGGAAATAGTTGGCGTTAATCATAACTGGGTCCTTTTAGGCTTTGAGTAGTGTATCAAATTTAGTTTTATCCTATTTTATTCATGTGGGATCAAAAATTTTGTATACTAATATTGTGATTTATTCACGTCTGAATTTATTCCCCTCTCCATTAATGGCCTGCTAGCTGACTGGTCGCTACTATTCTGTAAATTAATCTTGTGCATAAACTGAATCCAATCATCTGATTTACAGAAAAGCTCTGGATATGTCTTCTAATGTGTTATTAAGAACTTGCTACCTAGACTATTAAAGTGGCTTCAACATTCAGAAACAACTCTGAAGCGCACATTCTTTTGCCAACAGCTAACACAAACTTCTTCAGCACGAATCAAACTCTGCGAAGGTAACAAGGACGTTCATTGCAGGTTTACCTTGAAACTCAACAAAATACAGTCCTAATATCTTCTGCCTTACAAGACCAAGATAAAAAGGAGGACTTCTACACACATCAACATGCATTGACAAGAAAGTAAGAATGGTTAATATATGTGGGGTGTCTGTTTCAGTTAAATTTGCATTTGTTTTTATCTAATAATGTGATTCTTCTTCACAAACATAGGGACACCATATTTATATAAATCCCCGTTGGTATGTTGCCTAAATATCATGGCGGCGTTTGACATCCTAAAAAATATTTACAATTCTGAATAAAAGTGCACATGTAGGCCAATGTGTATGTTGGATTTGTTTTTCAAAAACAACAGTTAGCTTAGGGTAGGTAAAAGAAAGTATGACGTTGGTCCGAAATAAGAACAATTCACTTACTTGTAAATACATTTCGTTGATTCGTAATACTTCTTAGATTTGTAAATTGGTTTATCTGGTAGATATTGTAGGAATTCATCCTACAAAATTCACAAAAACAAATAGGCATAATAAAAATTAGTATTTCAAGTGTTAAATTAAACAAGGTAAACTTAACTTCTTTCTGTATCAAACAAGAAAGGCTATTGAAAATATTGATGGATATTTCCTGAGATGTAATTTAAATGCTAAAGTTCTAAGACGATCTCGACATAACAGTTTAAATCAGTGACAGTGAACTGATAAAGAGCGAGGGAGGAAGAAGCAAAGTAGTTACACATTCATACTTCATGTCTGTGGAGACCTACATTCGAATTGACGTACTGGTGAATGAAACTGAACAGAAAACTTCAGTTACGGGCGATGGGCTAGCTTGCGACCTGCATGTTTACGACTCGGTAATCAGCTGGTTGACTGTCATAATCGAGTTTCTAAATTTTGATTTCATCATAACCACTGAACTATTCTAACAACCGCCTGTCTACATTAACCTGATCAAAAGCCATGTCTTTTTATTCCGATTTTATTCATATCAAATTATAAAGAGAGATGTTGCTTATGATCAATATTTTCAGAGAAGGATTTCGTCAGTGACTTTGCTTTAAGTGCTCAATAATGATGTCTAAATGTACAATTGTATCACCTAATGTATTGCTCACTATCAAAGATTGAAAAGAGGCGAATAACGAAATTTGGAGGGGGAAATGAGAAGAAGAATTGAAGCACATTATAGTTCTTTAAAATGATGGTCAACTGATGCATGATAAGAAATAAATTTACTCTTTCTAAAGACAATGAGGCAGCTTGTTTTCTAATCCTTTACAGGGTCTACTTCTTCAAATCACATTTGGAGGTATATTAGGATTAATTTATGGTGCCTCATTCTTAATATGCAATTAATTGCCTCTGCAGTGAAGATGTAAGTTAAATTATATTTCAGTCTTCAACTGCGTTGTTTTTATCACAAAATATGTTCGACTGTCTGACTCGAGTCGAAATCGATCATTCCTATCAGTTTTCAGTTTGGCAGATATTAAAACTGTTTGAATCCAAGATCGTTGGCGTTTTAATTCGATTATTCCATCTCCAAGAATCAAGGCGACCATCTTACTGTCGCCTGTGGTCACTAATAATGACCACGAGTAGTCTACAACTACTGCCGCCAGCTGCTAAAAAAATAGTTAAGTTTTTGTGCGATTAATACACAGTATCACTCTGACGTCAAATTGATTGAAATCCTATCCCTGCATTTAGTACACGTCACTGTACGTTAGAAGGCCTACCATACAGACATGGTTCATTTAGCCTAAGGTATTAGTTAGATTCCTATGACTCAAGGGAACTAATACACTTGCTAAACTCGCTTCACTCAGGTTTGTATCGAAGGAGGTCACTACTGAGATATTCTGGCTACACTATATCCATTGAATAATCAGTGAGCGATGATCAGTCCTATAGTGTCTACCTCTGATTGTCACAAATCAGTGGGAGTTCTCTGGACTGACTGAGTCCAATCAATCAAGTGCAATGTTAAATTCAATGATGAAAATAAAGTGATATTAATACTGACTGTTCACTGTAATCATGCACTGCTATGTAAAATGTCACGTACTGAGAAAGATCCATGCATGTTTAACAGCATTGTGATTTCTGTATGTATGCATGTGCATGTCATGCACACATTTACTTGTCCTGAATACTCAGTGTATATTTGAACAAAGGATTCAAATAATCCGACATCTATCAGTGATTTCAGAAGCAATATTTCTGATGCGAAGATGGACAGGTTGATTTTATCAATATTAGTCGTTGTAATTAATAATGCCCACATCTCAGCCTAATTCATTTCAACACACTCAATGTCAAAAGAAGAATGGAACTATTTACTATTATTATTATTATAATATCATTGAACTTGAATGTTTATCGAAAATATTCTCTGCAGTTGTCTTTCTGGTGGTAGCCTTTATGTCTCCCATACATATCATGATGTGATGTGAAACTGTAGTTGGTTTATTGTTTGATAAAGTGAGGAGTATAGTTCTAGTGCTGACTGCTAATTTCACTTGGTCAATGTTATGGGATAATTCCTAATTTAGAAAATGTCCGATTGCAGTCGATATTTTAGTGACTAGTGATGGATAATATGCGGGAAGTTGTTTGACTAATTTTCATTTTCTTATTGATACACTTTAACAATAGATATCTTCTGGACGTTGTTGTCGACCATATTATCAGGATTGTTTATAAACACTGTATATTTAAATAATCACCAAATAGTATGTAGAAGAGCTTGAAATGTATTCACTTTTCATATTTTAAGACTGAGGTGAACCAAACCGACTCTCTAGTCGAGGTTAAATGCCTATATCACCAAATATCTGAATTTTGAATCCAGAAGTCAGTAATCAAACACTGGAAGGTCGTTTATCATTTTCCTGGTGCAACGACAACATATTCCTATAGAGGTAACGAAAGATTTTTCCCACTCCTCATCTACGTAGAAAGATGTGATTATGATAGAGCTGTATATCGGTTACATCATGGTCTTTAAGAAGAGGATGAATTAGTTGCACAAAGTTGGTTTCACATGGTGCTAAAATAACCGAATACTGTCGACAGACAAACGAACAATAGGTTGCCTGAAACAATTGCTTTTGACAAAGTTGATCAATGATCGAAAAACACACTACAACTATTTGCGAATAAAACAACTGTCTTAATACTTTATTCTTATACCGTTTTATTTTGACTAAGTATGCTGCAGTGTTCTAACATTTTGTGTAATCCCATGAGAAAACAAAACATTCATTGTTCGCCTGGACAGTCGTGTGTATACCAAAGATCAAACAATCTTTTCAGAAAGTTTTATGCACTTCATTTGGAGTATGAAATAATCTCCAAGGGTAACATTTTGCAAGATGAATTAAGGGTTAAAATAACAATATTTTCTTTTATTCATAAAAGAACAGGCTTACTCTAGCATCTGTGAACATTTCATCCAATACGGCAGTTTTGCATCTTCCATTCCGTTCACTATTAATTTTTTGTAAGAACTGAGCAGCCTAAAGGAAACAATGAGAAGAGCAAGAAAAATATCTATGTGTCATCGTATTTTCTATTCTGATTTCTAGCACTTAGCCTATTGAGAATTAATATGATAAAGTTTGTGCAAAAATGAGTATTTATACAATTGCTTACACTGAATTCCTCACTTCAGGGTATGATATTTTGTTGTAAATCATAGTCAACAAGAGGACAGTTGAGAGAAACAGTTCGCCAGCCAGTTGATTTTAATTAACATATGAATATTAATCCATTGTATATCATTGTCTTTCTCGTGAATAGATATCTCAGAATTCGAATGAAAACTGACCGCAAGATTTATGAATTCAAATGAGAACAGATTATTTCTGATGGCTTCTTATGATGATGATACTACGACGCTAAACGGTACCAAATGGAAATCCTGACCACATAAAAATTTCACAATTCTGACCCTATCTCTTGTGAGTTTTCAGGTGAATACTGTAGAAGAGTCATAGAATAGAATACTGTTGCTTAGATTCCAGTGTTCATCTAGTTGATCTCAGTTTGTGACTAAGTCTACCTTGCTGTTAACCAAACTTCATCTATGCCAAGCGTGTGAAATTACTTGATTTTTACAAATACAATTTAGTGTGACTTCAATATGTTGCGAATTCTTACTCTGAGATCAGTTTGGAAAGCTACAGAGCTTAACATAAGAAACAAAATTTGAGTGTTCGACATTAATATCAAGTTAGTGCTTCCATATGGTTCAGCAACACTGGCGCACCACCAAAAACACTACGAACAGGCTACTGCAGACTTTCATCAAAAACTGCTTTCCCTATATAATGAAGATTAGGTGACTGGCCAGAAAGGATAGGCAACAATGAACTCTAGAAACAAACCAGCCAAGAATCTATCACCCAACAAGCATGCACTATGATTGTGAAAGTGAATTGGGCATACGTTGGGAAGACCATTTAGTTACGTCACACACCGCATCCTCAAGTTGAACCTGAATGGAAAGGGACGAATTGGACATAGGTCCAAGGGTGACATCGAAGAGATCATGAGAGGGGAAAATAAAAACTTGTGAGCAGTAGTGAAACTGGTTGAAAGTGATGAAGAGCACATCATGTAATGGGGATGTGCCGTTGAAACTGTGTGTTCACCTCAGAACGTAAGGAATAAACTAATAATAAGTAATAATGTTGAGAATTCACACCATGAACTTGAATATTCATGACTGGAGCATTACTACATAAGGTAAATGGCGAATTAAGAACTTCAAGTAAACCGATATATCTGATCACACATAAACTAAATCATACGAAAAGTCTAATAGGAAAGCATGTATGATATATTTTGCTGACTATCCTGAAAAACGATGTAGGTCACACGTCAATATCACTCAAAATGAAACTGAATGAACATGAACAGTTGACTAAAATTCATCTCAATGGAGCAGAAAAATGTAAAAATTTGAAAAATTTCTCTCACTATTGATTCATTTTTGAGATAACACAGTAACATTAAAATATTTGCATCTTAAAGTCTAATATATATATACGAATTTAGTACGTCAGTGGTTCAGTGATGGAATACTCACCAGCTACAAAGGACTTCCTAGTTTGATTCGCGGTCTACACACTCCTTATCCTGAGATTGTTTACTGGCCTACAGTTAACCTGCCAAAGAGGAGAGGTTAGACGTGAAGTGAGCAGCTCCAGTCCGTAAAAGCAGCACCGGTGCTGCTAAAACCTCGAAGACTGGAGCCGCATATCTCACTCGGAATGCAGAGAAATGTATATATATATATATATTGAAAGAATAGTCAACGACATAATCCACATTCATCAGTTCCACCCCACAAGACTCGCAATGAAGTTGCCTCAATTCCATAATAATTTTTTTAAATGGGGTTTGGAGAGGAAATGTACGCAGACAGGACGAGTAAAATCGTAGTGTGGGATATATTTACTAATTCCTCACACCTACATGAAACACAAAGTATGATCATTCAAGCATACTTGGAGCTGTCTTAAGTAGTTTTTTAAAATATCAAATAACCCATTAGTTCGAAAGTCTGTAAAGTGTTATATGACATAAGTGAAGAAGGATGTTTTTAGGTTTTTAATTTGATCACTTTGACAACAATATTCACAAACAGAAATGAGTAAATAATGTGAAGTTATACGCCTTCTGTCCTTATAATAATCAGCCGACTAGACGTAAGAAAAGGTGAATATATTAAAATGTTCTACAAAATCTCAACAAGTTGTCACCTTTCAGCAGCATATTTGAAGCAATACATTAGATTTACTGTTTCTGGTATGAATGAAAAATGTAAAAATTAGTGGTGGATGGAGAATACAAATGCTGTGGAACAAAATTATTTATATCACAATATTTAATCTGCTTGGTACCACAAATGGGAATCAAGAAGGCAAGTATAGATGCATAACGGTATTTACTAATGATTAGTCGACATGAGTAGTTGTATGCCACTCACATCAACCAGTAGTACTTACTTGCTAGCTACATCGAAGTGGCCTGAAATACGGATAGGCCACTTTGGTCGTTTGGGGCTTAGCTCATTAGTTGTATAGCCGGCCCGACTCAACTTAAACAGCCGAAGTATTTTCAAAACTTTTATCAACTATTTCTATGCAGATTAGTGAGATGACTTTATGAGGTGATAAAACGGGAAACTTCTATTTGTCTACTTCACTGAAATTTAATAATTACTCATCTATTCTAAACCAAAATAACAGAATAGGACCAAATGCCCAACCTGGCTCCCGCTGTTAGCCACCTCCAAACAATGATGATCCCGTTCTAGGTGCCCATATACCAAAGTGAATTTGATTATTTTGGCCAAATTATTAATAGGAAGTGAAGAACATTTGTCAATAATTTCAAATAACAGAATTTCCGAAATATTTGTGAGTCGGATGGTCAACATTCTGTACTTTTGTTAGATTTCAATATCTTACTTTTGAATTTCCATTGTTTCGTGTTGCATTTTAAGGTAGAAAGCCTCCGTTCACTACCTTTATTCCTGTTAAGAATTAACAAAATGGCTGTTTCATGAATTGAAACGGTTAAAAATGCATTACACCCTAATGAATTCAGCATGAAACTGTCTTACATTATAACGTTCTTCTTTATTACTCTTTGATCCATTCCACTGATAAAGTTTAGTACCGAGATCCAAAATAAAGACATCTGTAGAGTCTAATGAGTTGATTGACAGTTCAACTTCTTGAACTTCACAATGTGATTTTCCATCTTGATGGAAATGCAATAGTCTTGGTTGATATTCATTTGGAGTGACACGACGAAATCCTGAATCAATACCTCCATTAAGTATGCTGTCGAAAAGAAAGGAGAATTATCGAAAGTTATGCAGTCTTATTACGCTATCTTGTTAATATGAAATTTATATGTGATTTTCTTATCTGGACTGAAACAGTAATGACTGAGGGTGAAAATAATAGTGCCATATTTCTCTACCAATTGCTGTACAGCTAAATGACAAGTTTTTCGTGAATTTGTTTGATAAGTAAATCCAAACTACACACTGATTTTCAACCTGTGTAGACTACCGCATGTTCATTTTTATCTCCACCTTATTCACCTATCTAGTAAGTAGTGACAATTTTACCAGATATTCTCACTCATGGATAATAATTCACAGTTCAACCGCCAATTCAATGTTTTATGGTAATAGACGCTAAGTTACCAACCTCTACCTACCGACAGCCTCTTTTCAAAGCTCATTAAGCCAGTCTTTGGAGTATTTTGCTTCATGATTTAATTACTACCAGTGTCAGTTACATAACAAATGTCCTTCATGTTTTTATTAGTCATCTATCAACCAGTCAACAGCATAAAAGTAGAAAGCAGTAATAATCCGGATGTTTTTCAACTTAAGTCTTTGTGCGTAACTTACATGCAAAATAAAATAATCCACAATGATTTCATAACTTTTTGATAGCTGCTGGCTGGAATCTATCTAAACTACAAGAGCAAGTGGCAGACTAGAGGAGTTTCAGAAATATCCTATTGGTCGGTGGGTGAGTAGTAGAATATTTGCCAGTCATACGGGAGTCCCTGGTTCGGTACCTGGCGGACTTACATCTAGATCAACTGTTAACTAGCCAATAGTAGCCCGCCAAAAGGAAAGGTTGGGCGTGAAACCTGCAATCCCACCCCTTAAAAATAATACTAATACCTCTGAAACTTCAAAGCTTGGAGCCTTATCTTCTACTGGGAAAGCATGAAATGTGAGAAAACTCTACTAAATCACCCATAAATTCTGTGATCTTAAATCACTCTGTAATACTAAATAGAAAGTCAGTCTCAGTGTCTGCTAATTTTGATGAGCGACTAGTGTGAAGTTATTCTGTGTGATCGTACACTGCACCGTTGTGTGTTACTAGGAAGATTAGTTTTACTTCTTTAACGAAATATACCATAACAGAATTTGCTTAGGCATAAGTAAGTGTTTGGATTTATGGATAACTGCTTTTATCTAAACTTTTCTATCCCCGGCATACTATTTCAAAGCAAGACGTGTTTAGAAGACAGAATTTATCTTACAACAATCAATAATCGAAATCACACTGAATGCAAGATCACATAAACTTAAAATTTACTTTCACGAGTCAGTAAGGATTAGGTTGGAATTCATCAAGAACCAATATCAGTTGAAGAACCGTTGAAAACCAGGGAGTATTGAACAGTCATCTCGTCATTACTTGAAACTCTTTAGCAATATGCATCCCTGATACCACTAAATATTAAAATAGGGACCCTCTTCATAAATCCATACTTGATAATTAATTCATACCACATTAGTTACTAACTGCAGGATGTACTTTTTCTGGCTGTGGTGAAAATTCGCGACCCCAGACGTCGATCAATTCGGGCGTGAGGACAAATAATTGTCGATGATATTGGCTAGCGGCAGTACTGTATACCGCTAATAGACAAAAGTTAGAATTAGTGAACCAGTGGTTTCCAACCTGGTGAATCAGTGGTAAAGTACTCCCACGAGTAACTTGAATTTCTTGATGTCGATCACTAGTGCAGTCATGGGTGTGGCTCATAATGAAACCCACCTCAAAAATGTAATGCCTACTATACACTAGCCACAGAAATATATGAATGGGTTGTGTCATAGCCAACCAAAAGTCATCATTGTCAATAAAACTTAACTTAAACTTCTACTAAAGGCAGCGAACTTCTATTTCCCTCACTACACTAGAGATTTAATAGTCAACCGTGTTTAGTAAAGTGTGATAGTAGTATATGAATTACTTTTATCTTCTGACGTTTCAAAGGCACTGTTTATTTCTGAAACCAACTCACCGGAATGATGGAAAGTATGATTTAAACAATTTCGATTCATAGTGTTCAACTTCACGATGCTGAACTGCTTGATCGTCCAGTAAAGCATCCAGTTCTACTGTTTTATAGGCGGCTGTCGCGTATTCATCCTGTTTAAAAGTATTTGAAGGTTTATAGATTATTAATTATGTTCAGTAGGAGACAGTCTTTATAAACGATTGAAAACGACAGGCTACAGTATATATCCTGAAATTATTTGTGAAGTAATAACTAACTGTAGAAACCAACATGTGGGTTGCTGCACTTTCACACTTATACCTCAATCTCCGCACCCCAGGTAGTTATCATTCTTCACTAACTTAGTGCACAACCCTTCGTTTGTTGAAATGATTGGCGCTTTGTTTACAGTTCCACTGAGAAAACTATTAGTTAGACATGTCACTCAGATGGCGATTCTTGACTAAAAGGAGATGCGCGTCATCAGTTTTACTTCTACCCACTATTAAACAAATGACAACAAAATGAAAATATTGGGAGTATCAAGCCACTAATATGAGATTTCTCATACATCCAAATTACCCTGATCAATTCAGTCTAGTAAAGAGAACAAATCTGCTCAATATCTACAGTGTCTTAAAATCTATAAGTAGTAACAGGGTAGTACTGAATGTAACTATGATAATATATGAGACTTTAATTTCAGTGAATAGCTGTTTGAATTCTATGCGGAAGTTCACTGAGTGGAATAATTCAGGATATCAAATTACCTGTAACTTTATATTTCTAGCGAGATTGCATGAGAAGGGGCTATTATCATTGATAAACAGGTGTGTAGTTCCGAAATCACTACTTTTGTAACAGTTGACATGTGCTGTTCCATATGAACCAAGTAACAACACTTGACTATCAGGTGTATTCAATAAATCCAGTCAGAACTTCGAGTTTTAGGATGAATGTTAAACGTAACTAAAGATAGTTACCTCAGTATGTAAATATATTTAACTGTTTCTGCTGAAGTAGTTATACTGGCCGTTCTCAAAGAAACTTACCTTAAGGCACTCGTCAATATCTACTAGTTCGACGGGAAATTAGTAATCAGGTTAATAAACAATGTCGTCTTATGTAATTTAGTGAACAGAGAGCACCACATCAAAACAGAAGAGGCATTTACGGTCTTATGTTGATTGTAGAAAAATCTGCTCAAAGGTATTAGCCAACGACTCAGCTTTAGCTAAAGATACAGGAATCAACAAAAAGCAACCTATGCGTCCGAGAAAAATAAATTCACCTATGTTTACGCTAGCTTACCATAATAAGCCAATTATGCATGTATTCATCTCATTATTATACGTCTTATTATAAAGCTCTACAGCTTAACATTCCTCTCACTCCATCTCATCTTGTTTACTACAAACCGTTATTATTATTATTATTCATTGTCAAGATTTTTATTAAGCTCGTCCTATGTCACTGTTACCTGGTTACTAAGATCTAATCTGACTCGATTTGTTTGTAACGTATTTGGACCACTCTCAAGCCTGTCATTCAATAAATACTACACAGATTTTAGTTTTTTTATCATGTTCTTATCAGAAAATTCGCACATATTTATGAGCTTTAGATGCAGTTTACTAGCCAGATTATCTCCAGTAGCTTGAATTGACTTAGTACGAAAACAGAATTATTGATTTGCAGTAATTTAATTTATCCATCCACTGGTGATTAATGAACAGGTTAGATATAAATTTCTAGTAATTCAATTATGTATTTGGGTGTCAGTGGAGTCAGCTGAATCCTTTTTGAAGATAATCAATTATAGATGACATCAAAGAGTATTTCTGTCAAATTACAAGTTAAATAAAGTTGGAAGTCATGGATGTTCTGGATGTCAACCTGTTTGCTGAATGGTAGCATTCTTACCTCGTAACTTTATGGCACATGCATGAATACTTCCCAGTTTCATGAGTTCTTGCTTTTCAACAGTCGCAAAGAATCGAAAACGCCTATCCTATGCTATTCTGTCTTTTTCTCAGCCTCCATAACATCTGCCTAAAAAGAAATTCTTCTTATTTGTTTATTAAATTTGAGATTAGGATTGTTGTATATTTTGCATTTTTGATAACAAGAATTAAGTATCGATTTATAGAAAAGAAAAAACTTTATTTTCTGTGGTGAAATGAATCAATAACTTCTTTATTTTAAATGTCAAATGTAAACCTACTTATGTATTAATAGTACTACCTCATCAGTTATACTTAATTCTCGTCGTACAATGTGATAAAAATAAGAAGAAATGCTTATTACAGTGATCAATAATGCAATAACATATATTCGCTTTAAAAACAGAAGCAATGAAATTGTAATACAGTCTGAAAACACCAACGTCTACTCACCTGAGTACTTTTTGATCCAATCCAAAAGTGGACATCATAACCTAAGCCTCTGTTGTCTCTATACACATTCAGTACAATGTATGAATCTCCGTTGAAAAAGTGACCGTAGTCATTTTCATTAACTGGTCTAATTTTGAACTTCTGTAATTAAAAAACAAAACACACATTTATACAAACAGAACATATTTGCGATAATCACGTAACATATTAGCTGCATACTTGGTATGTCTATAAAACAAGTCTTACGAGTTGTGTGACCAAGGTTTTTGATGTAAATTGGTAGATTTCAGCCTTAACAGTGTCTAATTACTACTACGTAACAGTATAGTAGTTTATGCAATTTTTAAATTTCGCTGTACAGTATATCGTCTTATTTCATTACTTTGAGTTTGAAATGGTGCAAAGGGCTTCAAGATTTGGAGTTTTGGAGTTTCAGAAGCAGTGATATTGTTTTTAGGGAGTGGGGTTTCCAGCCGTGCGCCAAACTTTCCATCTTTTCTGGGCACACTGCTAGCTGTGCAAGGTTCAAGATTGCGTCGGCCGGGAATCAAACTTGGACCATGTGCGTGACTGGAGGTCATTCTACTCCTGAACTATCGACCACCCATCATCTGCAGTTGAAATAAATTACTGGAGATATTTTGGATTGAACACCAGACCATGTACATCCTCTTCGTCGACAGGAGAGGAATTTGCTCAAGCCTGAAAATAAAAACTGCGAAATTCCCAACAAAACCGATTTAGATAAATGTTTCACTTAGACTTGCACACACTTGCTTTCTGTAAAGCTTTTTTTCTGAAGGACTTCTATGAACCTTGAAGATTTACTTGTTAATTATGTGTAACTTGGTTAGGCTAGATAAAATAGAAGGATGTTACTTCTTACCTTCTACGTTAGGAAGTTAAGACAATATGATATCACACAGTCTCCACTTCTACAGTTAGCTAACTTTTGTATTCTATCTGTTCTTCTTCACTACTCCTTAATACTGCTTGGGCTATTTAAGAAAGACTTACAAAGCGCACTCAAAGCTGTTTTTAAGGCGAGTGGGTTGTTGCTAAGCAACCTTGTTATTATTGTTGTGGACAGACACTTGAACACCTGCAAAAAATTAGTGAATATTATTTTGTCGAACTTTGAGCACCCTCTTTATATACACATCTCATCAGACAGAACTAGAAGCAATTATAAAAGACTTAATGCTCAGAAAACTAAATAGAAAAGTTCAACGACACCTTATTTAGCACTCATTTTATGTGATGAGAAAAGTAATAGGCATGAAATTGATAACTTTCCACAAAATAACAAGTAAGTGGCAACTTTTGTTCTTCATATCATTAATATATCGTTACCATTAGTTCCATCGATCTTCAATTTCTGTTTTACACTTATACTTTTTTAATTGACATTATTAATAATGTAAATATTATGGTGATCTTTTTTCCCTAAATGTCTGATCTAAAGAGAAAATTAGATGCAATATTGTACTACATGCTGGGAATCCCATTTAGAATATAGCCATTATCATCATTGTTAGTAGTAGTAGAATTGTAATTATTATTGTGCTTCTTATAGCTTACTCAAACAAAATGTCGTATTGAAGATGACCAAATATAATCAGTGGAATCATACATGACAATCTAGGACGTCAGTTTTATAATTAGTATCTGCTAATCAAGCTCAAAGCCAGTCACCAGTCTAGAAGAAATAAAATCGTCATTAATAATGAACAGGGAATACTCAGAACTTCAGTAAGTTAGAGGATGGTTTTGAAGATGCACAACTGAGAAGCTACCTAAAAACAATCGTCATGTAGGCTTCATTGTATGGATTTTCAGTTGACGGTATAGATTATTCATGCTAGGCTATTCAAATACATTTTTAATTCCTTTAAGTTCCCAGTGGAACATAGGGCTTCAAGCTAGAGGCTTGAAGTTTCGGTAGCGTTGGTGTTTATTTTACAGGATAGAATTTGCATTAGAATAAATTTATCCTCACTCTGGTACACTCATAGTTCAATCTATCTGAATGACATAGGAAGGTAAATTATTTAAACAGCTTGGAAATGGGCAAATTAAGGGAAAATTGAACAAACAGTTTGCTTTTCGACTGAAATGAGGAAGACCTTTTATATTCGTTAATCAATTTCCAGATCTAATACTGTAAGTTCGATGTGGTGAGGCTGAAGTTATTTTATTAAGAAACTACTGGTAGTAAAATGATTCGATGAATACAAGTCAATCATCCATACAGACTAAGTGAAATGAAAGTATACCGTTTCGGAATGTTGCTATTTGACCTGTGAAAAATCTATACACACCAGGTAGAGTACCTTTAATGTAAGAATGTGAAGAACGAGAATCGTTGTACATGCTTCAGTGTTAATAGCCACTTGATATGGTTAAACAGGGTAGATTTCAGGCCGTCAATGAATGAAATACAAGTAAGCCAATCAGACGAGAGGTAATTAAAACGAGAAAAAAATCATATATTTGGGAACTATACAATTATTCTGAAGTACTTCTAACTAATCAAATATTTGAGTTGACAACAGAATGACATTGGGGGAATTTTTCGTTTTTAAGAAAGTCAGTTTTCATCGATTGTAAATCACAATTTAATATTAGACCACACTAGGAAGCTAAATAACATAAGCCTTCGAGCCAGACATATACACATACTTATGTCATTTTTTCTTCAAAAATCGGTTAAACTCAGTAAATTCAGGTAGATCTTGTACGACTCTGATAATTGCCTTCATTGTAAGACATTTAACAACATAACAACATTACTAAGAAAAAAACCACTGGATGCTACTCTAAACCAGTTACTACACAGGTAAATACTAAGCCTAGTAAAAATTCTTAGTGAAACTATGTGTGTTCTCGATACAGAAATAGATTTTGGATATTGCGGTAGAGTATAATTCCATAGCGGAATTATTTTATTGAATTAAACACACACCAGTACAATATTATTTTCACCGATACAAAATCACACAGTAGGGTGGTACAGAGCTACAGTTCTAAAATGTAGTATATTTGATCACTGAATCTATGTTCATTGAATCTACACCAAACACATGCAATAAGGGTGATACAGTAACAATACCAGAGATACGGAAGATCTTAATGCTAATAAAATCATGGAGTAAGAAATGACGGGATTATATAAACAAAGTGTGGAAGTTGTGTGAGCGCCCTGATATGATTATGTACAATAAAGTGTTTTCGAGATACCATCGGTACATAATTCTGAAACATTGTTTTTTTATCAAAAACATTTTGTGATAGGAGCTGTGTATTCCTCTTACTCTTGAAATTCTTGTAACATATAACTTCAGGATTTGTATTTCTATAAATGCGTATTTTAGAAATAAATAACAGCATTCCAACTCAAAAACCAATCACTACAGAAAATCATTCAATTACCTCAACTCTCCATACATATACTTTTGGACAGCTGCAATTTAGAACTGGACGCCAAGCCTCTTCTGCTAAAGCAGATTCCTCTGCAGATAAAAACATGAAGAAAAAGAATGATTACTGTTAAAGAAATAATTACATAACATATTCTTGAATGAAATACAATTCGTTTGAAAGTAATTACTCACTGGTTGACACGATAGCTATTTGAGTAGTATGCAAATGATGGACGTGTGGCAGCCATTCTGGTTGTTCAAATCTTAAGTGTTGAGCAAAATACATTCCTCAGTCTCAGTGTTTGGATACTGCTTTGCACTCCGATACTCTTTTTAGTGTTGCATGTTAGAAGTCATTGAACAGAAATCCGTGTTCCATTTATATTTTTCACTTTTTGAAGCTGAACAACAAGTCGTATCTTTAATCCCTAAACACAGATGGTTTATTCAGGACAAGATTTTGTGTGACTTGAGGTACTTAACAACCGAGTGACTAGGTTTCTCACCTTATTACTGAGAGGAATAGATGCCAATTTCCTAACAAATTTGAGTTCCTTCTAAGTCTACAGATGAATATACTCTACTGTTGAATGCCTATAAACTAGAAATGCAGGTGAGACAAGATTTCCCAGCAACCGACTCATATCATTTATTATTTAGACAGTGATACTGACATGGTCCTGAGAATATGAATTCCATGGAAATTTTCATTTCGTTAAAAACTCATAAAACTTCATTGTATTTAGATAAATTCATGAATGATAATAAGTATCTTAACCTAACGTAAATATTATTTCCCAAACAAAGATTCACTTCTCTTACCTCTCATCTTTTTATATTTAGGAAGCAGATACAAACTCCCAGAAGGATTTAAATGAGAATAAAGCTGTTTCATTTTAGTCGACTGGTGAATTTCGTGTACAGAGATAGACTGGAAGTTAGGATGTGACCTCAGTCAATAAATCTGCAAAGAAATCAACTAGTATTCGTGGCAATGCATATTCGTAAAATGCACTGACATCCACCGCGAATTCAAGCCCTCAGATGATAGTATGAGTTTTAATGGAAATTTTTCACTTATTTTTTATTCAGACATTATCATCTCAACTCGCAACTAACAGAGGTTTATGTCAATACAAACCTTCGTATAATTAACGACAGCTTCAGCCTTACTTGTTTTTGGCTAGTTGGTAGCCACCACAGAGTTTGATCGTGTGAATTTGTACCAATTATTGCCTTAAGATGGATAAAAGTTAACAAAAAGAATATGGTTATATCCATATTTACTAGAAATTTTGAGACTTTTGACGGCTTTTGGCCTGTATGCTTTACTAGTAAGCACAGTATTTCAAGGACTCTTTCCAACTGGACATTCTCTAGACGCTGCTAATATCTATCAGGATGGTTGTCGAAAGGAGGATGTGGAACAGTCAACAGTTCAGTTCTCCTCCTAGTATAGGAGGAGAAGTAAAACACTCAATAATATACCTTTATTTCCAGGTGTTCGTGTAAGGACAGGTACTCGCTGATGAAACTGGATGGCAGTGGAGCTAAATATCTCAAACTGGCAGAGGTTAGAACTCACGGGCCACTGGCTTTCTTTCTATTGACTGAGTAGTTAACAGGCTCATCATATAACCTAAAGATAGAGAATTCTATCCCCAGGAGGTGTGATGGGTGCGTCCTGACAAAGAGTCCCAAAAAGGAATAAACATTTGTTGATTGCTCCCTGATTTCCAATGACTAGCCAATCAACGTCAATTTGTTAGCCAACTTGGAAATTCCAATAATTCTAAATTCAGAATGGAATGCAGAACTCTAGCAATGATTAGCCTAGACAGAATTATTGTTTGAATTCACAAATGATGTAAGTTGATTGTATTATACAAGACAATCTTAGAAAATTCCCAAAGAACAGCTTTTAAGATGGTGAATAAAATACGCAGAAGACTTAGGTTGCTCGGGGATTTCACCTGTTTTCTGTTTGGTAACCAACGCAGAGTACCAGTTAATAAGCTTTGTGAGCCAATCGTTACCTCAGTGTCCTCTTGATTACAATCATATAAAGTTTTCTGGACTGTAGTGTGGATGAGTGATAGATGTATATTCATCATCATTATCGTCATCACCATCATGATTCTTCAATAACACTGAACGTTTTTCTTCTTCAGTTGAGATTTTCCCAACGGACGACCAAGGCACTAACATATAGTTTGGTCTTTAATAGATGATAAGTAACATCACAATCCTGAACGACTTTTCAGGTTTATTTCAACTAATCAGCATCAAAAGAAGGTGAAGCCAAACGTACTACCTGAACCTCAACCAGTCATCTGTGTTTAACCCAGAAAGTATTGTTTCATCTCTCTGTAATTAAGATACACTTGTGTTTTTGAACATAAGAGAAGACTTTAAGCTTACATGGTTTGTTTTGGGTATTGTAGGAACTGGATGGTTTAACTGAGAGGCTTTCACTAACCTAGCGGATAACATCTAAAGCTCTAGCTTACATTGAAATTAGCAGTAAACATGTTGTTCAGAAGAGGACGATGAAAGCTTCTCAATTAAATAATCCAACTCCGAGAACACAAAAATAACAGACTACTGTTTATTGCAGCAAATAGTGACGTAGTTTGAATTAACCTCTAAAAACTAAAAATCCTTCATCAAATAAGATTACTCAACACGTAAAACTTATTGCGATAGATGAGGTATATGCTAAGCCTTTTCTCTCTTTCTGCGCACTGTATTACTAAAATGACCTACAGCAGTTAACGAGTCTAGTTGGCTTGCCACACAGTATACAATCGCGTGTGGCAAACAAAATGAATGTAGGAAAATTAATCATTTCTTATGGTAATAACGTGTAGCACTCATGAAACCTACTTGTACACATTTAATGAGTACTACTGTCATTCATACAACACAACAAACTTTTAGTATCAACCTAACAATAGACACAGCCTTTTGTCCTCAAACAAAACTATGAAATTCCTCAATAAATCAATGTACACAGACCGCTAATAGCACACACAAACACTGAGTGTAAACACCAGAACATCATGCACGTATAAATATCCTTCTATACAAATATGTGCATTTCACTAGTGTATCACACAGCGTAGTAATAATAATTAACAACACAACAGTCAATCAGTCATTCATGCTTCTGACGTCTTTTATTCTTTCTTTTTATTTAAACAAAAATCTGTACATATTCAAAATAGTACGAGGCTGTTGAATCTACTGAATAACTTAACAGTTATTTTTGTTACTTATATTTTTAAGGTTTTAATCTATTGAATTCATTTTAATTATTGTCTGTTAATTCCCACGTCATTTTTATATTTGCTTTCTAATGTTTAAATGAACACATTGAATTAGTCACATAGTTGAATATTCATTAATTATATGAGATTGATAATGATGAGCGGTGGTGATGCGTCTGTGTTTACTCAAAGTGATTCCTTCTCTTAGAAGAAAAGCGATCAATAATAAATGTTCAAAACTGGTATTATTTAAATCAACCATTTTATTGACAGTAATAGTAGCAATAATATTATGAGTATAACTGATTGGAAGAGTAAGCGTAACAATAATAATGATAAAATAATAATAATAATAATAGAAATTAATAATCATAAATTAACAAACGACTACACATTCTAGGTTAATCCATCATTGAATACACAAATCTCATTAAATTAATTTGACTGGCATGTAATCAATCTGTCGACAAGAGAGTGAAAAACAGAGAAAGAGAGAGACAGAGGTAGAAGGTATGAACGAACGTGATAGTAATTTCACTGTATAGAAACTTGCTAGAATCCTGTTTTGTTCTAGGTGAAGTTTAACGTTTATGTGAAGTTGTAAAGTTGTTATTAGTAGTCAACTGTGTGTTTATCCGATTAACACAATATTCTTGTATTTATAACAAATACAAACATACTAGCTGGTTATATAGGTACTCATTAAAACAGAGAGCACGGCTCAGATATTCTTTGGTGTTCTGCAATGTTTGATGTGAAGTCGTGAACACTTTGTCAGTGTGTTTGGCAAGATTCTCAACAAGAAGTTCTGAAGATGTTAGTAAGACTGGTAAAAAAGGTCCAAGATCGATTATCAAAGCTCAGAGAACATTGGGAGAAATTCTAGCCATGTCCTAAGCTAATTATCTTCTCAGTTATTATTCCAAGTTTGTTTACTCGGAGTAGATCATTCTGGTTTAACATAATGAACAAGATGTAGGCCTGTAGCATTGAGCTGTCATTCCCTTCACCCTTCTATAATTTACCTCAGAATAATTTCTATGGTGTTCAACGAGATATTTTAAAATGAACAGTTTCTTTTATTTACCAAGCTTACATCAGTACCAACATTGTTTATAATCTATTTTAAAAAATTAGAAAATTAGATGTGATATTATTTTCGCTAGTTTATCTACGCACACTTTTGAATTCCCTCCCCATCCTTTCGAATCATTAATGTAAGTGACCACACTATACATCAAAATTTCAGTGTTAAGCATTTGTAGATTAGATTCAAGGCGTTTGTCCGTAATGCTTCTTTGAAGTTTAACTTTCAAGAGAAATTGGATTTTTTCATTTTGAAAATGACTTCTATCAAAGATTCAGCCCATTTGCAAAAAAGCCGTAGATTGGTTAGTTATAATGTTAAACATTTACTGTTTATGCATAAATATTCATGTTAAATGAAGTACTGGAAATGCTTGAAATAACCAGTGTTTTAGATCCAAGGTCAACCTGAGTGTTTTAAATGGTGCCTTCAGTAGAGGGAGCGGATTAAGTTAACTGAACAAACAATAGTTTGACATATTATTCAGGTATCAATAATACCTCTAAATTGTTTACACCACAGAGCAGTTTTTAGGCCTTGATTCAAAAAGTTTGGTTTTCTTTCCACACTCGCCATTTTAGCTGCATAGGTTTCCACCATCTTTATTTCCTTTGATGACGAAGTAAATTTGAAGATTGGTAATGTCAGTTATTATTCTATAAGCAAGAATGAAGAACCTGCTAAGTTCACTAACTTGTGAAGGTATTTGGCGATGATATCTAGATTATCAATGAAAACTATGCAGTTGATACTTCAAGACTGGAGAATAAAGGAACTAATTCAATGTCTACATACTGAGACATAATATTCACCCCACGCTGCTTTATTATATGCATGTAAAAGCACAGTGCTTGGTTTTCATAATGTCTTAATGTGCTTTGCCTAGTCACGTTTTACAACCGTTGATTTCTACTGGTTCATTATCACTGACCAACAATATCTGGAAAAAAATCAGGTCTCTAGGCAAAAAAGTGAATGGATTTGTGAAAGGTTTTCTGTTTTACCTGGCTGAAAGCCTTTCCAAACAGTCATTACCATGAGTGATTGAGGGGCTGGAGATTCTCTGTTTTTTCTCTCTTATATCTGTTGTTAATCAGTCAATCTATTACTATGTCTGTCACTTGTAGATCCAATTTAATCTCAGTGAGTGAACGGAAACACTTTTTGCCTAATGAAGCAAATGTAGTTTTATAGACAGAATAGGTGGTACAGGAATGATCTCATTGGAAATAATAACAAGATATCAGTTATACTGATATGGTAATACCTTAAAGGGAAGGAGTTAATCATACTGACCCTTCTGATCAATCTCAGTGATATTTTTGGTTTTTCTAAACAAAAAAATCTACATTCGTTATGAATGTTTCAGATGACGATCTATATTAGCTCGTTATCGCCAACAGAGCATGTGTTTACGTGATACGTTATTCAACAGAAATATCTTGAAACTAGATCAAACTAGTTTAAGAAATTATTGTTGCTTTACTCAAAATATGATTTATTAAGTTAATGATTCAAGTAGCTACAAGTTGTGCAATTCTATCAAAGTCATGTGAATCAAGTCATGCTTTATGATTTGTACATTTCGGCTAACTGAAAATGTGGTGATATTCATAAGCGTAGTGTTCATTACTTAAATTGGTACTATTACATTACTAGATATTTTAAAAAATTAAATTACTAACTATTGACATGTGAACCACAGAAATTAATTATTTGAGTAGAATTTTATCAAGACCAGTGGAATCCGAAGTCAACGACATATTTTATTACTTTATTTTAAAGTTGGGTATCGTCAACTAGAGAACACTCGCAAACTACTAGCTACTTCAAGTATAATACTTATGATGGATGGAATTTAAAGTCATTAGATTTAGACTTGAGCACAACATCTGACACCTGGTTTGAGTTCAGCTACTTATGCAACCCAATTCATGACAACCACTAACGTAACATAGCAGTAGACAAACAGTGTAGAAGAGGCCTAATCTCCTTGAAGTCAACTTCGGTTCAATGCGTTTTGATTTCCCACAGTAATTCACATGATATTGGTTTGTAAAGAAACCCTAGCTTGAAATTAGTTGAATCCTTGTGAACCTAATAACTTTTCATAATCATTTCTATAAAAAAATCCTATTGTTTTACATTTCACATTATTTTTATTAGAAATGTCATAGAATAAGCAGTGTAAAATGATATATCAGCAGTTTGATAAGCGTTACACTTGTGTTTCTTTAGAGATGGACAGGGAATTTGTAATAGATGCAAGCATCAGACAAAGGAAAATTCATTTGAAATATTGTCCTTATAAAGATGTACATAACTAAATCTAAATCATTGAGCGTTTTGAAAAATGCATTTCAAACAATGTTTTAAAGAAAACTATAGATTAGTCTGTTCTGTAGAGTACGGTGATCTCGATGTGGAGAAAGACAGCCCAGTTTGGAAATATATCTGACAATCAGTCTGGGATATCTGCTACAGGTGACGTTTAATTCAACTAGATTTTAATGTTGTTATTCACCACAAAAAAGTCACATCTTTAATCTTTAGCAAGCTCATGTTTCTTTGGGAATTTTACTTTTAATCCATTAAGACTTTGAAATAACCTCTACACAAATAGGCACTGTGTGTATTTCTGTAGATCATCAACACTTGGTTACTGAGAGCCTTTACAGAGAATATTGTTATTCTCAATAGACTGAATATTTCACACATTGTTACTAATGTAATGGATGGCGACTGAAGGTGAAATGAAAATTTGAGTCTGGTTAAGGATTAAAATCAGTGGCCACCGGATTAGCAATTTGGAGGTAAATGTTCGTGCCTGTTTGCAATCTATCCCCTTGTTGGTTAGTTTAATATGAGCAGTGCTGATGTTAGGCGTAAATTTTAAAGGAGGGAAAAGGCAGTCATCAGATAAGTTTGTGAAGCTATATGGAGGGAGATGGCTAGAACACGTGTTGCGCATTCCAAGCCACCGTTTTCGTCGACTAAAACTGTTAACTGACATACGATATGGATGGAAAAGAGTTGGGGATGGTCAAACCAAAACCTTGCATCAAATCTTTTACAGTTGGCTAGGGTGTTGATGTTGCTAAAAACCAATGACTGATGGCTGTTGATGATAGAGCTCAGAATCGTTGTCGGTGGCGCAGATGCATTCACTTTTTGTGATCTCTGATATCCGTTAAACCCTCATGTTTCTTGTATTACTTTTCTTTCTCTTATACATTTCTGTTGATTATAGATCTTTCACATTTGTTTTTCTCCCTTTTCTCAACTATTGTTTGGTAAATGGAATGTGGAAACATGAACTGCTGCACTCTTGTTCGAAGTTCTCGATTAAGAATAAGTCAGGTTGTAAGTGAGTCACTTTGAAGTCATCGGTTCCAAACTCTGTGTGACCCCGATTTCCACTTCACCTTCAGTCATTATTATATATATATATATATATATATATATACCAATGAATAACATAAATAAAATTGTCTTAGGTACCAAAAACTCACTTTTCACCCTCTTATCTTCATCGCTACCGAATAGAGCTAAATTTGTATCCTGCCAAGCATATTCTTTATTCTGTGTAGATAATGCCATTGTAGTATTTGTTATTGAGTGACTTGTTTAATGATATATTGTGTAAGTTAGACTACAGTAAATGTTGTTTGTTCTTCCAGATGTTGAGGAATTAGTTAGGAAAAAAGTATCTCTCCAAAGTAATGACTGTGCGAAACACTGGTAAAGACAATAGTTATAAGTGTATTTTCTCAATCAGTCGTATATATATATATATATATATATATATATTGGCGTAAGTGTATATATGCACTGACTAACCTCTACTAAGCGCACGTCACGCACAACAATTGGTACTGCCTCTTATTAGTTAATGCTGATGTATTTGTATATGTATGCGTGTCTGTTTCTTTTCACATTTGAAATAATTAGAATAGTTTTAATTTATGAGAAGTAAGTGTACACGCTCAAATGACTCAAAAAACTTAATTAGTTTATTTATTTATAAGTAGTATTTGTGTTTTTTGAGAAAAATTCTTTGCAATTCATATATTCAAATTATTAAATGCCCTGAAAAATGTCTAAAAACTGCTACAGCCGATACCTTTACTTGGTGGATGGTTACTAGCAGTAGAATTCATGATGCTCATTCCGTCCTACTTGGGACTTGTCAGATGGATGTACCTGTAATGGTGTTCCCACTAAAGCTCGAAAGCAGCACCCATAGTTTCCAATACCAAAGCATTGTCCACTGGACCACTAACCCCACCAATTGTGCAACGGGTGTCAGTTATTGTTTGTTTAAGTCAGTTTTGTTTTTCCCGTTGACTGATTCCTTTTGATAAATTTAAATAAGCCCTTCGGAAGACACAAATAGTTGTTGGATGATATTATTTCATTCTTTCCCTGCAATCGCCTTATAGCAAGTACGGTTGACAGTAGTAAAGTGTTTGACAACTAGTCAGTTGTATAAAAAGAAAATAAGTATTAAGAGCCAATAGTATTTTCCTGGGTCAAGTAGTACAAGGTAGGTAAAGATTGAAATCTGTTGTTTACTTTACACATAATTTAAGATATATTTGATTCAACTAAAGGTCTTCCATCACTTTGAACTAAAATCGTGTAAAATGATTGAGAAACAATCATTAATACTGATTTTGTGACTAGAAATAAAAAAATGTTTTGTGATGGATAATGTTGGATTTCTATTCATATTAAGGGTATTTAGATTTTGTATGGAACTTAGCAGCTATCTAAGGAACATGTCATTTCCAACGACATTAAAACATTCTATTGGTTTTACTGTATATCTGTCCCTGCAATCACAAGCGAATTGGTAGACAGAGTGTGAAACAAGTACTTTTATTTCAAATAAATATTTAATTGTCAGTCTGGAACAATTTGGATTTAATAAAAGAAAGTCTTGTGCGCATCAGACTGAAACACTGAACATCGTCTTCGAACAGAACACAGATTCACAATCAACAATCTAACTCAACTTCACCGACTTTGAATAGGCATTCAATAGAGCTGACGGTGAGGTGATTTTGAAACTGCTTCAACACTACGGGATGCTGCAACCTCATTCGCCAGCTGCATGATGATGCCACATGTCAGGCAATTTACAGTGGTAAGCGCAACGCAACCTCTGAGATGAAGACAAGACTAAGACAAAGCTATTTACTATCACCGATGATATTCTTGGCTGTGGTAGACTAGATCACAGGAGTGACTATGAGGAGGGCAAAAATGGGAATACAGTGGCAGAAGAAGCAGCGAAGACAAGACTTCAAGTGAACAAAGAGATGACAGAAGTGATGAAGATACCTAACTAACAATAACAAGTACCAGCCACCATCAGAGCGAGAAATCTGAAGGTCACTTCTTCCACTTACCTTGCTGTGCAACGTTATTTCAACTACAGGTAAAATACAATCGGCATAAGGAACAAGATTCATATCTTCAGCATGATTGTCAAGTCAGTTCTTCTATGTAGTTCAGAGACGTGTTGCGTAAGGAAAAGTATTTCACTAGTGGCTGTTTTTACTCCAGAAAGGATTAGAAAGCGGGAACTATTGCAGCAAACCAACCGGCAACTTATCACCCAACAACTATGCTGAATGAAATAGAGATCGATGGGACACATGATGAGAAAACTGTTGAATTACGTCCACAGATAAGGCCCTAGAGTGGAATCCGAATGTGAAACGACGAGTTAGATGTGGCTACGATGTCGATATGGAGGAGGTTATGTGAGGAGGAGACGAAAGCCTATAGACAATCGTGCAGCCGTTTGTAAAGGAGTGAAGAGAACAGGATAAAATGAAGGCATGCTGAGGAAGCTCTGTGTTCCACGCAGAACTCAAAGTAATAATATTAGTAATAAGTTCCCAAACACTTTATCTCTGTCAAACATGATGGCTGTAAAGTGATTTTAGTGAAGCTGCAAAATGATACCATCCTGCAATAATATTTGTCTTCCAGATGTCTTATTTAAATATATCTGAAAATGAAAATTGTATAAATATCAACTAGTATCCTCAGTATAACGGATGTTCTTGCGATGAAAAGATGTTTTACTTCCTACCAGAAATCAGGTTTATAGAGTAACAACTTTACTGTTCACCCCTATTCTTTCCTGGATTGCTTAAAAGGACTATGTCATACTTCTTAGAACTCTGAAGACTGTCAGTAGGGCAAGTGGTATCCCACTGGGCTATATCGTTGGCATTGTCACTGACAGGCACTTGATTTCATGCAACAAATTCGCTAAAGGAATTTTGTCAGACTCTGAGCACCCACTCTACCCGCAGCTCCAACCTTGTGTCTCCTCAGGTAAAACAAGAAGTCTTTTCAGAAGAATTTATGCACGTACATCTAAGTATAAAAATTCCACTATACCATATTTAGCACGTACTTTATGTGATGAAAATAGCGTCAGAAATGAACTAACTAACCTTCTTAGCACCACTAAATAAACCATTTCCTTCACATATATAGCATCATACTTTATTGTTATTGTATTTCTTATATTATAATCCTCTCAATTTTTTCGTTTTGTTTATTTTTTTTCATAAGTGTGGTCATAATTTTAAGCTGTATTATGACTGTTAATTTTGTATTTCCCCTCACCATACTATATCAACAGAACATTAGACCCAATAATCTATAACATGCTAAAGTTTCCAAACTGAATCGACAGTACCGTTTGAAACAAACTTACTGTTATTATTATTATTATATCTAATAATTATGTCGTAAATATGGACAAATTCCTCCGGTTAATTTTGTTTTAATTTTTAATTTTATATATATTTTGAGTAAATCAGATGCAATATTGTGACAAATGCTGAGAATTCCATTCTGTATTATAAGTACTGTTTTTGGAATAAAGTAAATTGTTATTATTTAAAAATCTATCCTTTCTGAAATACATGAATGAGAGACAAAACAGTTTTAGATGAACTTTATATAACAGTAATGGTATTAGACCGGGATTGCCATATTTGTTCTTAGTCAGTTATGATTGATAGTGTTAGTGGCTCATAAAACTGTGAATTATATGCCTCTTTTTTCGTATAGCAAAAGTAATTAGGTAAGAGTGAGAATCGAATTCTATCACACAACATAATTTGCGGTCTAAATATCTAAATAGCGAAGGAAAGGTACACTCAATAAGGATACTTTGCCATCTGACATGTAACAAGTTAGACAGGAAATAATAGCTAGATTTGAAAACTTGGAAACCATTCAGGTTAAGCAGTGGTGCTTGCTAGTCAGGTTCAAGTGATCTGTATACCAGGAAGTCATATACACTCATTCGGCGACTAGATAATCAGTGATATACCTGGATATACTGAACCCAAAGGTCTGGATCAATTCAGACAACTAGAACTTGTACTGTTGATTTACAAATGATGAAACTGACTTTGTGTATCACCAGTTAGCTCAATTAGACACCCGAGACTTCATTGATTGTAACCAACGCAGCCCTCTCATTTGAGTGCTATTTTATGTTATAGAGCAAGTCACATATCACAATCCGAATGTTTTCGGTCTCCATATGAAACACCGGTAATTATTAAAAATCTTATTTTGTGTATCTTTTGCATTATACTGACTGCTAATTGATCCCATAATTTGAACTCACTTATATTGCTTTGAGAAAGCCATTAGCACTATACATTTATTCTCCTTTACGAATTTGAATAAAGTAAAAACACCAGACTGTGTAGAATAAGATGGCACCATAGTCTATTTTTTTCAGCTTCGCATCAACTGAGTACAGCCTGATAAAATTAGGTTTATTTGCAAAACAGTTTTGACATACTTGCAAATATGACATTAAGTCAGTCATTAGACGATGAGAAACTTTTAACTGTAAATAATCCCTAAAAATCACTAGAATAAAGCATTCTGAACTCAAAATTAGATGCTGACCCAAACTGTTCAAGTTGACCTGTTAGCCTCAAGGTTCGTTCTCTGTAGAGTCTAAAATGGTAATTTTGCATAGTTCCTGGTAAACGTAAAACAGGCACACTGGGTACGTCTTTTGTTATGAAAAAAATCTCTGTTTTAAGCAAACAATTTTCTCGGAATTGGAAACACACACTTCTTTGTTCATGCTTCATCTTCTCAATCTTGACAAATATCTGTTTACCATACTAATTCTCCGGTTATATATTTTGGAAATTACGGGAATTTCTCATTCTCATCCAAAGAATATTCAACAACACACTGGAAACATCTACAGTGTAAAAGACGCCATCAAAGCACACCTCGTAAACTGTATCTCTAGATTATACTGTTAAATTTGTGGAGGTGGACTTAATCCTGTTTGCAAGTAAGTGTACTGTTTATAAGTCATTCACCTTATTAATTTGAATGCACTGTTTATACACCTTTGCTAATTTGGACTTTTATTTCGATATTTTATATAATTTCTGAGATTATTGTTTAGTCCCCCGCAGGTCAAGCATCTACATCATTTGGCACACTGTCGTGTCGCATTCGATCATTCGTGCACGATCCCTGGCCACCTAAGGATTCATCATCGTTATACGATTCTGATCTCGCAATATACTTCGTATTTTGGATGATCAATCTGCTATTTTGATTTTTCTGCGCTCTAAGCAGAACAAATACTTTGGGAATTATCGGACAAATACTTGTGCTTGTTTACAGCATATTCTGTGAAAACGTTAACAACCTTGATCTTCTAAAATTGAAAATACAGTTTCACAAATCTCTATCATAGCAATAAACTTCATCATCCGCTTTACACAATGAAAAGTCTACTTCCCAAAGGCTTTCTTCGTTCATGTTATTCATAACTTCTCTTT